CCCGGCTACCACCAATGACCGCCCTGACAGGGAACACAACAGAGAGTCCCTGATGGAGCAGGGGAAGGGCGGGATGCAGAACTCAAATTCTAGTAAAAAGACCAGACTTAATGGTCTGACTGAGACTGGAGAAACCCCAGAAGGCATGGCCCGCGGACTCTGTCAACCCAGAATTAAAACAATTCCCGAGGCCAACTCTTCAGACAAAGATTGGACTGGACTGTGGGACATAAAATGATACTCGTCAAGACTGTGCTTCTTAGCGCAAGTAAATCCATGAGACTAAATGAGCAGCTTCTGTCTGGAGGTGAGATGAGAAGGCAGAGAGGGTTAGGAGCTGGTTGAATGGACATGGGAAATGAGGGGTGGAAAGGGGGAGTGCGCTGTCACAATATAGGGAAAGCAATTAGGGTGACATAACAATGTTTATATAAATTTTTGTATGAGAGACTAACTTGAACTGTAAACTTTCACTTAAACTACAATAAAAAAAAAGAAGCATTCAAAATACTTGATTCAAATCACTGTTTAAGGTAAACTCTGATATAATCATTACCCATATGGTGGCAATTTACAAAAGTCCCCAATTTGAAGTATTATCAAAGAGGAACTATAAATTGTCCCTCCACTACTAAATCATCTACCACGGTAAATTTTGCTTAATTAATTCCTTATTTTACTTCTCTTTGTCTTTATCTACTTTGAGGTTCTTGCAGCAAGGCTCAAAGTACAGTTATCTAGCTGCCAGCCAGTGTTAAAAAGAAGTAACATCACTGAATTATAAACTTATTTTCCCTCCCTTTTAGGGGTATCATAGAAGGGAGAGGGAGAAGAAATGGCAGAGAAAAGCATGAGAAGAACAAAGAAGATGGGAAGAACCAGAGTCACGTTCTCTAACCCCTAAGTGATGACTTCAAACATAATATTTTTGGACTAGTCAAAGTATACAAAAATTGTATTTTTTGTGCCCTGTATGTTATACAAGAAGCCTCCATATGTTAAAATCAAAGCATGCAGCACAGTAACACCTGTGTAATGAAGTGAGCCCTGAAGTTTAGCTGGTATCTAGGCACTTCTTGCTGTGTCTCCATGTTAATTACACTGTCTCTGTACCCTTGAGTGTCTGATGAGGCTGGACTAGAATATCCTCTCAAGGCATGCCTTAGTAGAAATCTGGTGTTTCATATTTGTGATTCTGTCCTCACCACTAACTGCCCCAATATTCAAGGAGAAAATGTACTCATAAAAATTTTTCTTCTGTATTTTTCCTTACATTGGGGGCATCTGTCACTGTTTATCACCACTTAAGCATTAACAAAGTTTTTTTTTTTTTTTAAAAATGAGCCATTTGTTACATGAATTATCTCATTTAACCCTCACAAAAACCAGAAGAGGTAAATAGCACTGCTCATATTTTACAGATTAAGGGTGAAAGAGATTATACAACTTGGGCAAGATCCCAAAGTAAATGGAGGGGTCTAGCTTGTAATCTACACCCTCCAATTCCAAAGCCTTGCCTCTAAACCATTACTGTACACTCTCTTCAGCGAATAATGCACTAAAATATTAATAACAGACTTAACCTTAAGTGTTACTTTTTTTTTTTTTTTGGTGGATATGTGTTCTTGACTGATTTTTTTTGTTGTTTTTTCACTAGCAAAATTATTAAGTTTTTATGAGGGCCACATTATGATCTCCATAAGCACAACAGCCCAAACGAAGATGGGAACCCCAGATCTAAATCTCCAGGAGCTCTCCTGCTAGTTTTCCAGCACTCGACGAAAATACGTTTACGGCCAGTTTAAAATCTACCGCAATACTATGCATCTGCATATTAGTAAGCGACCTCTTGGGAGAAGACACAAAATCTCTTCCCTGCAGCTTGAAAGAAGACAAATCAACGGATGTACAGTACGGGAGCAGAGCTCTGACTGCAATTCACCAGATCTTTCAGTCACTGCTTTGTTCCTTTTCTTCGGTAAAGTCTTGAGAGAGCTATTTTCAGATGCAGCTTTGAGGGTCAAAACGAGACCCTGCTACCAGTGGGTACCCGCTCTCTAAGAGACGGCAGCACAGACGTGGTGTCGAGGGCCAAATTCTGAACAGTCCCTAGAGACCAGGGGTGACAAGCCTCATTTCCCCACGATCGGCCGACGACTTAAGGCGCTGGGGCTGGCACGAAGCAGTCGCTTTCCCGAATCCGCCAGGCCACACCCTCGCTCCGCCATCCTCCGTGGCTCCGCGAACGCTGCCGGGAGAGAAGGGCTTCCCGTCCCTTCCCTCGAGACCCGAAGGCCAAGAAAGTCAAACCTCGGTTCCCACCTGGGCGCTGTTTGGCGGCCAGGCTCTGGGCACTCACCATCATTCTCGTCGCTGTGCCGCCGCCGCGACATGCCGCACGCCGGTGCACTTTAGAGCCGAGACGCCGGGCAGGAAGCGCGGCAGGAACCGTCCAGCAGCCGGCGGCGCGAGGACAGCGACAAGGAGCGTGGACCGCCGGCGCGCAGGCGCACTCGTTAGCTCCGGCTCCCGGAAGCGCAAGGAGGAGGGTCGGCGGAGATGGCTCGGCGGGCTCGGCTCCGGGAAAGACGGCGTAAGGAGGCTAACCAGGCCGCGGACGTGTGGTCGGCACGCAACCGGCCCCCTCAGCCTTACCCCGCCTTTCGGCTGCTTCCTCCTCCCGCCTGTCGCTCTGTGTCCTTCCGGGGCCACGGAGAGAGTGCATCCGCTTCAGCCAGTCAGAGCCCACCGGCCGTAAGCCACGCTTGGAGGCGGCGGGCGGCCTGGGAATGACTTTCTAGTCTCAGCCTCAGCTTCAGCCCCGCCCCCGGGTCCTCGCAATGGTTTTCCCGGCGGCCCTTTCGCTAACGGCCACTAAGACTTCCGGAGCGAGGTGACGTCCAAGCGTTCGGTCCTACGTAAACACAGAACCCTGGTTGTAGGTTCCAAGTGCAGTAAGTGACAATTGCTAGGCGGGCACAATTCAGTGAAGAAAGACCCAAGAATAGATCGGACTGGCGGGTACGTGGTCATCTTACCCCCACTTCCCGTCTTTTGCCTCGGGAAAGCTGGGCGGACAGGTTGGGCCGGGCCCACCTTGCGTCGTGGGGCTGGGATGGGAGCCGCGCCGGCCTGGGATGGGAGCGACGCTGCACGTGTCGCCCCCTGCGATGGGAGGACCGGCCCTGACGCGAGCCTCCTGTTCCGGGGGTTACCCTCTGGCTGTCATCTTACCTCTCACCTCTACGAGTTGTTAGTTTCAGAAGGAACAAGTTGATTGTTTTAGTATCGTTTTTAATAGCTATTGACGACTTTGTGTATATGAACATCTCCAGCCCTGATGTCTCTCTGAGCATCACACCTGCTTATCTAACTGCCTCGTCCATGGTCATCTGAAATTTCACAGTCTAAAATAGAACTCTTGTTTTATCCTCCTGGCCTAACCTGTTCCTCCTTCCCCATTTCAGTAAATGGCACCATCCATCCGGTTGCTTAATCAAAAAATCTAGGCTGGAGTCATTCTTGAATCCTTTTTTTCCTTCACTTCTGCATAACTGGCTCTACTTCCAAAACAAATCCAGAATTGGTCCACATTTCTCCACTCCTGCCATTTTTTCTCCATTTGCTTCCCTGATGAATGTCATAACCTGACTGACCTCTCTGAGTCTTTCTTTTCCTGCAATCTTTTACCCACACAGCAGCCGGAAGGATATTCTTAAAATGTATATCAGACCATGCTACTTCTTTGTGTAAAACTCTCCAGTTACTTTCCATTGCAAACTTCAAACCATGGCATACACTCTTCTACCTTCTCATCACAGTGCTTCAACCACCCTGGCTTCCTGTTTGTTCAGTAAGTCAAGCTTGGCCTCACTTCTTTTTCCTTTGCTGGAGGTCTCTGCTCGTAAATCTTTGTGTGGCTAACTTCTTGTCATTTAGGTTTCAGCTCAAACACCAGGTCCTTAGTGAGGTCTTCCCTGGCTACCTAATATAAATTTGCTGGCCCTGCCACCAGGTCATGCATTGCAGTTTTATTTCATTCATTCATTCATTCAACAAATACTGTATTTAGCACCTCCTGTGTACCAGACATCGTCCCAGGGTGGTGCAAATGGTTAATGAGCTCGGCTGCTAACTGAAGGATTGGAGGTTTGAGTCCACCCAGATGTACCTTAGAAGAAAGGCCTGGTGATTTAATTCTGAAAAATCAGCCATTTAAAACTTTATGGAGCACAGTTCTACTCTGACATTTATGGGGTTGCCATGAGTCAGAGTCAACTTGATGACAACTGGTTTGGTTTGGTTTATGTACCACAAACTGTTCTAGATGCTGACAATATAGTAGCAAGCAAAGGAAAACCCCGGTTGTCTTGGAGCTGAAATTCTAATGACCCATTTAGGAATTGGCAAAAAGACCAGTGCAGTCTGAATAGGGAGCAAGGAGAGAATAGTATAAAAATAAGATCAGAGAGGTAGTGGGAGAGAGGGGTATGGCAAGGTCTTTGGACTTTATCTAAATAAATGGAGAAGCCTTTCAGGGTAATCTTACTTATTTTTTTATAGGTATCACTGGCTGCTACAGTAGGAGGGCGTTAGGGTGTTGCAATAATTCAGGCAAGAAATGGTGGTGACTTGAACTAGGGTGGTAGTGAAGGTGGTGAGAAATGGTCTGATCTGATTATATTTCAAAAGCAAAGCGGATAGGATTTTCTGAGGGACTGGATGATAGTGTGAGAGAATAAGGAATCAAGGATCATCCCAAAGGTTTTTTGCCTGAGTAACAGGAAGAATAGGATTGTCTTTTACTGAGGTAAGGAAGACTGGGGAATAGCAGGTTTGGATTGGGAGAAGTACATTAAGAGTTCAGCTTTGAACAGTTGCATTTGAAAAGCCTGTTAGACATCCAGCTGAAGCTATCCAGTAGACAGTTGAATATATGTATTTGGAGTTCAAGAGAGAGGTACAGGCTAGAGATATAAATTTGGGGTCGTTTGATGTGTAGTACAAGTCAAAAAACTCGTTGCCATCAAGTTGATTCTGACTCATTGCGACCTTATGGGACAGAGTAGAACTGCCCCATAGTGTTTCCAAGGAGCAGCTGGTAGTTTCAAACTGTTGATCTTTTGGTTAGTAGCTGAGCTTTTAACCACTGTGCCACTAAGGTCGCAATGTATAATATACTGAATATAAATTTTCCTTTATTTTTGGTTGTTTCCCTTTCTTTTCCTTCTTTTTTTAGTGGATATATTTACAGAAGTAGAGAAAATTATATAATGAACCCTCATGTACTCATCACCCAACTTCAGTAATTATCAACTCATGGCCAGTCTGGTTTCACCTGTATTATGTGCTCTTCCCCCTCAACCTCCTCAATTATTTTGAAGCAAGTGTAGTGTTTAAGGCCTTGCCACTACATGAGATCACCTAGGGAGTGAGTATAGATAGATCAGTTCAACATTTAGAGGTTGGGACAATTAGGAGGATCCAGCAAAGGAAACTGAGGAGTGGCTCTTATCACTATCTGGTATTCATGTTGATCTATCTATTTATTAATATTTTGTTGTTTTAGGTGAAAGTTTACCAAGAAAATTAGTTTCCCATTCAATTAACTGCACACAAAGTGTTCCATGACATTGGTTGCAATCCCCACACAGTGTCAATACTCTCCCCGTTTCTGCCCTGTGCTGCCTGTTCCTTTCATCTGGTTTTCCTACCCCTTCCTCCTTTCTCATCTTTGCTTTTGGGCAAACGTTGTCCTTTTGGTCAAATATAATTGTTTATTCTATGGAGCACATTCTTTTCGGGTGTTATTGTTTACTTTATAGGCCCATCTGTTGCTTGGCTGGAAGGTAGTTTCCCGGAATGACTGCATTTGCAAGTCAGAGGGGTGTCTTAGGGCCATAGTCTCAGGGATCTGATGTTTATTTGTTTACTTATTTAGTGTCTTTTGCCGCTTTCTAAACTATAAACTCCAAGTAAGAACCTTGACTTTTTTATTCAGAGCTTCATCTCCAGCACAGCTGGATGCACGGGAGAATCTCCACAAATAATAGTTAAAGTATATAAATGAATGAAAATAAATAAGGTGGTAACTGAAAGAGATCATTTTGGGGTGGTGGGAAAGGCATTTGCGAAGCTCTTGAACCAGGAGAGAGCAAGGCTTGCTCGCGGACTTAGGCCAAGTCCAGTGTGGCCGAGCAGCCTGCATGAGGGAGCGCGTTGCCTGAGATGAGCCTAAAGAGGTAGGGTAACTGTTTCAGGCTTTCTGAGGAAGGAGTAGCACTGGGGTGGCAGAAGACTTTGTGAAAGAGGTGACATTTGAGCTGGATCTTGATATAAGTGGTTAGTATTTGGGTAGAAGAATGGAGAAGCAAGTGAGGGAAACAAAGAGGCAGAAACCATAAAAGTTGTAACGAACGTGGCATATGAGTGAAATGGTGAAGAGACCAGTTGAAAGACTAGATCAAATACAAGACAGGTTGGGAAAGAAAACTGGGTGCATGAAGTGGGATCAGAGTGTGCAATCTGCCCCAGCTGATTTTTAGAGTAATCAAATTTTTAATGTTAAATTTAAAATACAGCATTCAATTAAGTTGAAATATTCATTGAGCCCTAGTATGTGCCAGACACTTCACATATTCTTTTCTAATCCTCACTACAGTCATACAAGGTAGATACTGTTACCCTGTTATACAGATTAGAGGATTAAAACTCAAAGACATTAAATAGCTTGCCCAAGTTCACATAGCTGCAACCAGCTGTGCCACAATCCGAAGCCCATGCTTTTCCCAGTGCTTCAAGTTGCCTCTCAGTGTCACCTGTAACGTATGTTATATGAAAGACAGAATGTGGTGTGTTGATTGTATTGTGTCCATTTTCATAAGATTTGACCACAGTAGCAATTTTGATATTTATTCTGGCTCATTAAAATGGAGCTCTATTAGTAGCTATTTCTTCCAAAGAAAGGAGTTTGCACAGCTCAGAAATTAAACCAAAACACACTGCCGTCAAGTCGATTCTGACTCATAACAATCCTATAGGGCAGAGTAGAACTGCCCCATACGATTTCCAAGGATGTGAATCTTGATGGAAGCAGACTGCCACACCTTTCTTCTGTGGGGCGACTGATGGTTTCAAACTGCCAGCTTTTTGGTTGGTAGCCAAGTGCTTTAGCCACTGTGCCAGTAGGGCTCCTGCTCAGAAATTAGGGGGCAAAAAACAACAGTGTTCATAACTGAACATACTAGCACACTGCTTGGTTGATTGTGGTTGTTCCTAGTGCTTTTCTGGTGTCATTTACCCTGTAATCCAAGTTTCTGCTTAAATGCTATTGCCTCAGAAAGGCTTTTCCTGCCCTCTGTGCTTAAAAGAGCCTCTCCATCCCTCTCTGTCTCCTTACTCTGCTTATGTGTCTTCATAGCCCTTTTCACCTTATACCTTGTCATCAGTTTATTCATTTGTTTACCTTATATCTCTCCCCACTGGAATGTGAACTCTAAGAAAGGCAGAGACTACTTCTGTTTCATTCACAGCTGTATCCCCAGTGTCTAGAGCAGTACCTGGCATATAGTAGTGCTAAATAAATATTTATTGGACAAACAGGCAGATGAATGGATAGCTTGGACTACAGGGCCCATGCTCATTTGCATGATTGATTAACTTCAGGTTTACTTCAGGAAGTAATCAAAGCCTTTGACATTGCTGTTTTCCCTTGCTTACATCCTAGGAGGTAGTTCATTGAAAGGAATCTCTGCCCCACTGCTGCAACCAAACCAGATGCCTTCTTCCACTTCACCAGACCGAGAAGATGACCTGGAGGCCTGTGTTTTAAGATTTTCGGACCTGGATTTAAAAGACACAGGTCTTATCGATCCCAGTAGCCATCTTAAAGCGCAGTTAGATCACAGTACAAAGAAGAAATACTCCTTTGGAAAGAAAAAGGTAAAACTACTGTTGATGGTTCATAATCATGTAAATATAGTTAATGCAGGTACATCTAGAAATAGCTCATCAAGTTTGCCGTCCAGGAACTGGAGAGCTAGTAAGACTAGCCACGCTCAAGGTAAGGCCTAGTCATTAACCAGTAATGTTAATTCATTGCCAGACAAAGGAGAATCACGGACAAGATGTGACCCTGGTACAGGTATGGCACAGTGCTTGAGGAAGCCAGATTCTAGACAGATAAGACTAGATTCCTTTCCACACCCAGGTTTATGGGGGGAATCCCAGGAACCCAGGAGACCTGGTCACGAGCACAACAGGTAGGCAATAGGCAGTTGCCATCTAGTGAAGTGACCAAACTTGAAACTGTTCCTAAACCCTACTGATAGTGAGGTAAGACTTCTGATCTGGTCCCCGTTGGTGGGGCTCCATTGGTTGAGAGAGAAGGACAGAGCATCCCAGAATGCCACACACATAGTACAGCTGGGGTTGGGTTATGATTAGGGTGGTAATGATGTTGCTCTCTTTGCCTTTTATCCTTTTTGTCAGAGACCATCTATTCTTCATTGACATGGAGCCAATAAAAGGTAGTTTTGCAGGAGAGGCCAGTAGATTGGAAGTCACAAAAAACGAAGTCTCAGTGGCATTTCCTCAGTCAAGTCATTTTCCTTCCTTGGAACCTCAGGTTCTCCACTGTTAAGAAAGGGGGGTTTCAGTCAAGGATTAGATAGTGAAAGTTTAAAAACAATTCAGTAGAAGAGGGAGGCTAGAGTAGGGCATTTCACATATGGGGAATAGCAGGAGTACAGACAGGTAAATGAAAACAGTGAGGAGTCCAGGTTAGGACACGTGTCAGGTATGTGTGGAGGAAGAGAATCGGTAAGTCGGGAGAGGGGCCAGCTGTGGAAAGTCAGTATTGAAGTTCTGATGCTATACCTTTTTCCAGTAATAGCGTGTGTGCTGCTGCTGAAAGCAACACAATGTCAGACTGTATTATGTAGATATTCCAGTGTGATGCATAGGCTTGCATTATTCTCCATAATGTAAAACTCAATTTTAACTTTTCTAATAATCTCTTCTAAAGCTTAGTAGTAAGAGAATTGTTCCTCTCTCAGGGAATTTTTCTATAAAATAGTAGAACATAAAGCTAGAAACTCCTGTAGAAAGATAATATAAGGGATTTCACTGAGACTTTCATTAGCCTTAGACCTAAGCCTATTTAACAGTGACATTACTTGAAATGTAATTGCAGGCATTTGCTCTTTTCGTCAAAACCAAGGAAGTACCAGCATCTGCCTTTGAATGTAAAGAAAAATGGTGGAAGTGTTGTCAACAACTATTTAAGGACAAGATCGGCATCCATAGACATGTGGCAACACAGCATGCTGATGAAATTTGTCACCAGACTGCTTCTATTTTAAAGCAGCTGGCTGTGACATTAAGCTCTTCAAAGAGTCTTAAGTCTTCAGACAAAAGGGACCTTCTGAAAGAGTACCTCACTCATGACCATGACGTGTCTGCTTGGCTTCCTGATACAAGCTGCTTTAGTCCCGATAAGCTGATAGGGTAAGGTTTTCATTCTGTATTTTTGGTTTGATTTTAAAAGAGTTTTCCAACTATATAGAGATACCACTACCCACATACCGAAATGACTAAAATAAAAAAAACTGACTCCACCAAATGTGGGTGAGGAGGTGGAGTAGCTGAAACTCCCACTCATTGCTGGTGAGAATGTAAAATGGTACAACCACTTTGGAAAAGTGGTTGGCAGTTTCTTTTAAAGTTTATCATACATCTTCCCTATGGCCCACTTCTGGGTATCTAACCAAGAGAAATACAAACGTATGTCCACGAAAAGCTTTGTCCAGGTATGTTCATAATAGCTTTAATCATAATAACCAAAAACAATAACAGCTGCAAATGCCCATCAACAAGAGAATGAATAAACTGTGGTGTAGTCATACAAGAATACTGCCCAGCAGTATAAAAGCTAGAACTTCTGATACATAGACATAGGTGTGGGTGGATCGCAAAGAAAGAAGCCAGACAAAGAGTACTTACTTTCTGTTTTTATTTATGTGAAGTTCTAGAACAGGCAAAACTCATCTATGATGATAGAATGCAGAACAGTGGTTGCTTCTGGAGGGTCTCGGGGGGTTGACTGGGAATGTGAGAGACGGAACTTCTTGAGGAGATGGAAATGTTCTAAGTTTTGTGAGAAGCATGAGTTACATAGGTATATGCATGTGTCAAAAGCATACACTTAAGATCTGTGCATTTCACTTGTAAATTATGCCTCAATTAAAGATTTTTTAAATAAATAAATGGGGTAGGTAAAAACTAACCAAAAGGGGAGGGAGGCCTTTCTGTGTTAGATCCCATCATCTGTTTAAAGTCAGATGGTTTCAGATAGATGTACCCAGGCGAATGCATTATTTATCAGGATTTGTTGAGGAATGTAGTGTTCCACATAGTGAATTCTTCAGATAGCAGCCAAATGCAGCTTACCTTTTAAAGTACCTAAATTTTCTTTGTTTTAACTTTTTAAAAAAAACTGCAGTTTCAAACTGCATTATATTCTCACATTTCCTAAACAAAGTGTAGTGAATGTAATTGAACTTTTTTTTTTTTTTTTTTTTTTTTTGTGGTTTAATGCCATCAGTATGATCATAAGTAGGATGCTGGGGTATAAAAATTTGCTCTTTTACTAATAAACCTCAAACTGTTACTATTCTGCTACCTCTCTTGTCTCTCCTAATGCTAGATCCAAACCCTATGTATTAGTTGTCTATTGCTGTGTAACAAATTAACCCAAACTTAGAAGCTTAAAACAACAGACATTATTTCATAGTTTCTGCGGGTCAGGATCCAGGAGCAGCTTAGCTGGGTGGATTTGGCTCAGGGTCTCACAGGGCTGCAGTTATCTCAGTGCTCGGGAGCAAACACAGCAGTTGCTTCCAGAAGCTACCTGGATACGCTTTATGAATTGTGGCATCCTTAAGCCAGATTTCAAATGCTCTTTCCCTCTGGTTTTCTCTTTGTAGTGGCCAGGGCATTGATGAAGGGGAGGTGCTACTTTATTACTGCTACTGTGACCTAGAGGATCCCCATTGGATCTGTGCCTGGCAGACAGCTCTGTGTCGGCATCTGCATCTCACGGGCAAGGTAACACCTCTCTTACCTCATCCTCCATGAGGCTCATCTTGCCTCCCAAACTTGGATTATGGAGGTTATACTCATTCAAAAAGGATTCTCTGTTGGGTTCTTAGAAATTAGGGAAATCCCACAGGGCATTTAAGGAGAATACTGAACAGTTGGAAACCTTTTCTGTAGAGGGCTAGATAGTAAATATTTTAGGCTTTGCAGGCCATATGGTTTCTGTTACAACTACTCAACACTGTCATTTTATCATGAAATTATGTAATTTTTTGCTGTGTACGTAAAAGAATAGGTAGTGCTATGTTCCAGTAAAACTATGTACAAAAACAGATGTAGTTTGCCAACTTAACTAGAAAAGCATTTTACAAAACTATACATACAAGTATGATTCCAAGTTGCTTCTTATTTTTCTTAGAACATGCCAGGGTCTTCTACCATCTCAGGGTGTTGACATTTGCTGTTCCCTTTCACTCAACCCTCACTTCAGATTTCTGCTTAGATGTCATCTCCTCAGAACTCTAACCTAATGTAGTCCTCTCTCCAACCATCATCACCCCCCTTCCCCTGCTTTTTTTTAAAAATAATATTGTGTTTTTGGAGAAGGTTTACACAGCAGTTTAGATTCCCATTCAACAATTTCTACACAAGTTGTTCAGTGACATTGGTTACATTCTTCACAACGTGTGAACATTCTCATTATTTCCATTCTGGTGGTACTGTTTCCGTTGATCTAGTTTCTCTGCCCCCTTACATTCTCTTTGTTGTTTTAAAGTAATTGTTGATTATTTGGAGCCCTGGTGGCACAGTGGTTAAGAGTTCAGCTGCTAACCAGATGGTTGGCAGTTTGAATCCACCAGCTGCTTCTTGGAAACCCTATGGGGCAGTTCTACTCTGTCCTATAGGGTCGCTATGCGTTGGAATTGACTTGACAGCAATGCGTTTGGTTTGCTTTTGGTTGACTGTTTTGTCTCCTATAGGTGATTTTTTTTAAGGCGCATAGTACTTGTGGGTGATATTCATTATTTTTTGAGTCAGTTAGTTAGCTACGAGGTGACCTCAGGGGTTAGTTTCGGTTCAGGTTTTGAAGAGTATCTCGGGAATAGTCTCCGGGAGTTATCCAGTCTCAACCAGTCCAGTATTCTGTGGTTTTTTTGTTGTCAGCAATTTGAGGTTCTGTTCCAAAATTTTTCTCCCATTCTATCAGGGCCCATCTATAGTGGCCTTGATTAGAACAGTCGGTATGGTAGCTAGGCACCATCTTGTTCTTCTGGTCTCAGGGTACATGAGGCCATGGTTCATGTAGACTGTTTGTCCTGTAGATTAGTTTCTTCTTTGAGTCTTTGGTTTCCTTCTTTCTCTTTTGCTCTGGACGAGTAGAGACCAATAATTGTATCTTAGATGGCCACTTGTAAGCTCTTAAGACCCCAGACACTACTCACCAAACTAGGATGTAGAACACTTTATGAACTATATTACGCCAATTGACCATCCTCTGCCTTTTTTTTTCTCCTGAAGAATTTATCACTAATTGAAAATATAACATTTGTTTACTTCTTTATAATCTGTTTCCCTTACAGCTTCATGAGGACAGAAACTTGGTCTTAATTAATTGATGTAGTCTCAGTGCTACAACAGTGCTTAGCAAATAATAGACACTCAATAAACATATGTGGAATGTTGAATAAAGGAATGAATGCATGTTGGTAACAAAACCATAAGTATACTGTGTGTATGTAAGTGTATGTATGAAGATACCAAAATGTTAATAATGGTTATCTCTGCCTTATAGGATTATGGATAATTTTTATTTTCTTTTTGTTTTTATTTTTCTAAAATATTCTCCATGATTTTATATGTAAACTTAATGTCTGTATATATGTAATCATCAAGGACATTTTGGTGTATGGGTATATATAGTATAGTATGTATACATACATACATACAAATGTTATTATTTTAATTTAAATCATAAAGAAATACACTAGATTCCCTCTGAGACCCCCTCTGGTTCTGGCATTGTACTATCTTATACCTAATATTTTCCACACATGTCCCAGGTTTTAATTTCCTGAGGCAGCCAATTGATCAGACAGTATGGTTTCAAACACGCATGTTTTCTAAAGATGGTAACAGAAAACTTCATTTACCTCACTTAGTCCGTCACCAAGTCCTGCCATTTCTACGTACAAAATATCCCTTGGCTCCACTTCTCTCCTCTACTTCACCAGCCTAGGCCAAGCCACTACTGTCTTAGCTAGTCCCTTGCAGGAGCTTCCAAACTACTCTCTGTTCTTCTATCCTTGCCCACCACCTGTCTAATCCATTCTCCATACAGCAGCCAGAATGATCTTAAAAGAGAAATAAAATCATATTGACCCCCTGCTGAAAATCTTCCAATGGCTGTCCAGCACATTCAGAGTGAAACCCAAAATCTTTAACAAGCCCTGAAGTTCCTGCATGATTTTGCCACTTCCTACTTTTTCAGCTGATCTGCTGCCAGCCTTCGCTAATTACACTCCAGCAACATGGTCTTTCATTTTCTGAAACCCACCAAGTTCTTTTCTGCCTTTGGGTCTTTTTACGTCAGCACCCTCTTCAAGGAACTCCCATACCCATTCCGTTTCTCCTAATTTTTACTCAGGCTTCAGTTTTCAATTTTAATGTGACTTCCTCAAAGGGGCTTTCCTGACTCTTCAGTCTAAATTCATTTTTCCCATTATGTTCTCTCAATATTACCTTGTAGTATTTTTTTTTTTTTAAAGCACTTGTCATTTTGTAAATTTTGTCTTAATATCTGTGATTTCTATTAGTCTGTAAACTCCAAGAGGGCAAGAACTCTTAACACAATTCCTGGTACATAGTTTAAAACAAAAAAAAAGTAAACATTTGTGGAATGAATATTACCATCTGTATTCAGAGAACTTTATGCCTTGAAACATGGTTATGCTCATGGTAAATCTGAATATGCAAAATATGAAATCAGTCCCTTTTCTGGGTTTAAGTGGCAGATTTTTATCCTTGGCCCAGTCCAAGAGATGAACTAGCAGTGAAGGTCCCCAGCACAAGGTGGCAGCACCTGCTTGGAGCTCGGGTCCAAATTCCCAGACTTCAATAATATGTGCCCAGTTTACTGATATAGTTTTCTGATGGTAGGAGATTTGGTAGAATATTGACACCTAGGTAGGGGAAAGGAGAACCTGAAAATTCAGGAATTACAGAGAGAAGCTTGTGATCCCTATTGCTGTCCATTCCCTACTGCCTCAAGGAATTTCAGGGGACCATTGGAGGCTTTGGTATAAAGGAAAAATTACAGGATTTGAAGCCAGAAGGATATAGTTTTAAATATAGTTCTACCACCTACCAACTGTGTGGCCTTAGGATAGTTACTTCACTTCTCTGATCCTCCGTTTTCTTTTATGTAAAATAGGGATTAAAGAATTGTAAAGCTCCTTTCTCATAGTAGGTGCTCAACAAATGATTACTATTACTATTCTCCATTTCTAAGGTATAAGGCCTTTCTCACCAAGAGCTACTGTAAAGTAATTCTGTTGAAGAATCCTAGGGATTGAAAGTCTAGTGTGCAGAGATGTTCTGCCCTCATTATGTAGGAAGTAGATGTGTTTGTCTTTTATTTGTGTTCTGAGATTTAAAAAATAATATAGGAACAGATCTACTCTACTCAAAAGACAGTTGCATAGAAGTATGTATCTCTTTGTCATAGCCTGCCAGTCAGAAACAATGTCAGAGTGGGTTTCCTGACCCTTATACGGGTTCAGTTCTATTTTTCTATATGAAAACAAAAAAAAAAAACCTGTTGCCTTCGAGTCGGTTTCGACTCACCAGACCCCATGTGTTACAGAGCAGAACTGCCCCCATAGAGTTTCCTTGGCTAATCTTTACAGAAGATTGCCAGGCCTTTCTTCTGAGAAACCTTAAATTGCTTCTTTTTTCAGAGAATGTCATGATACCACACAATGCTGTACTTTAGCACTTTTCTCTAGAGAGCTCAGTTCCCTGAAGAGATGATCCATCTTTAAACTTAGCCAAAGGATTTTATAGCACCAAAACAATCAACTTGCAGGGCTGCCAGGGCATGGCCACTTAAGGCAGGCTTGTGACTCAGGCTCTAATGCCCCCTTATTAAAGCATTTCAAAGAGAATACAGGGTTTAAGAAGTCAAAGATCTCCAGAAGTGAATACACATTCATTCATCCAACAAGTATGTGTTGAGTACCTACTATGTGGCCGGCACTGTTCTAGGATTGGGTGTGCAACAGTGAACAAAGCAGACACATACCCCTCCAGGAACTTGCATTCCAGTGGAAAGATTTTCAGTGGGCTTTCCCCCAAACACTGCAGAGATGTACTCACACGCATTCCCAGCCCTCATATTTGCTCTGTGCTTTAGGACTTGGGTAATACTTCCTCAGCAGTTTTCTCTTTGCTGGTGGTCTTTTATCCCTATTTTTTTCAAAATAAAGAAATTGAGGTTTAAAGAAATGAATTTTTCAGGGCCACATGGGAAGTAAGTGGCCAAGCTGAATTTTGATCCTAGATCTGCTGACTTCTGTGGAGGACTCTCTTCTACCTGGATTTAGGTAGAGCTCAAATTCACTTCTTTGGCCATTGGATAACTTGAACTTTCATAGCAAATGGGGCTTTCTAGAAGTTTCGTTCATTCACTTTCTTGTTCAGCATACAATACCTCATTTGTACTGGCCCTATGGATAGTGCCATTTTAGAAAATGGCACTTTATTCAGTCTTTATTCGGTCTCATTTTGGTGTCCATAGCAGTGTGTTTACATTTCCTGTTAGACTCATTGACACACATGAGCCTGTTGTTCTGCCATAGAAAGATGACTAAGCTAAGAATGGGCCCTCTTCCCTCTCTCTCACCACCCTATATCTCAGGTTCGAATTGCTACAGAAGGAATCAATGGGACAGTTGGTGGAAGCAAATTGGCCACCAAACTCTATGTGGAAGTCATGCTTTCCTGTCCATTGTTTAAGGATTATCTTTGTAAGGACGATTTTAAGGTAAGAGAAATAGAAAATAAAATGCATCTAGAGTTGTCTGCTGCTGCCTTGGTGCCTCTAGGTTTTTGAAGAGGAGGTTACAGTAGAGAAATAAACAGTACCAGGTAAATGCCCTTTCCCCATTATGTTATGAGACAAGGCAAACATAGAAGGAACATGGGGCCAGATACCTGGAATGCTCATCCCAGTTCTTCCACTGAGTCACCATGTGACCTTGGGCAAGTTAGTGGCTTCTCTGTACCTCAGTCTCCCTTCGTATAAAATAAGGACCTTGTAGCTTACACACCCTAGGACTCTAAAACTGGGGCATATTTCCTCACTTGAGAGACCACCTGGCTGTTTCAGGGAATCACTACATTAGTAGTAAACTTGGAATTACGAGACAGCAAGCACTTCATACCACATGGGGGAATGAGGCTGTTGCTTTCATAGCTAAGCTGTTTTGTTTGAGTGACTTTCTGCTTTATCATGATAGATGATACATAGAGCATAATAGATAAAATATCAAATAGATGATGGAAACACCTTGCTAATGTTAATGCTGGTGACAATAGGAAAAAAAAAGCTGGGCCATAATCACATGTTAGAATTGCTCAGTGGTATTTCAGTTTTATAAATGCTTATAGCTATAGAAACAGCTTTTCTATTTAATATTCCTGCAGATGGTAGGTACGCAATGAATATTTATTAATATTGAATGATCTGAACATTCTAGCCTTAGTCCCCTTTTCCCATTGAGTAGTTGTTCCTAATTTGAGGTTTCTTAAGAGTACAACTACCATTATTACAGAACAAGCCATAATTCTTGTATTTTCACTTGTCTTATGCCTGGGGATGGGAGAAGAAGACTGGTTTCTGTTTTTGTTTCTCATTGGCTAGACCAGCAAAGGAGGAGCTCACTGTTTTCCAGAATTGCGTGTTGGTGTATTTGAAGAAATCGTGCCTATGGGGATTAGCCCCAATATGATCTCCTACAAGAAGCCTGGTATGTCTGCTTTTAGAAGAATTGTGCTTTTCTTCATAGGGACAAAACTTAATAGAGAGACAAATGAGAGAATTTACACCCTGATCAGCAAGAGTCATAATGAATCCTGTCTTTGAAATAGCTGTGGGTTGGCCAATACTTGGTCCCATTCAGTGCTTAAATTGGTTCTCTTTGGTGCTGTGGTAATTGAAGACTCCCCAAAAGAATGACCTTAGTTGTTCTTGTTGATGATAGTTTCAAGAAGTTGTTTTCTCTTTTCAAAGATATCAATTTGGGAAGTGTATAATTATTACTTGTCAGTAGTTCTTCAGCAGAATAGAACACACAGGCTTTTTGCTACAGGAATTAAGTGGCTTTTGACACCTAAGCAGTTTGTTTCCAAGTGCTCTAGAATATTCCCTCACCCTCACCCTATGGTTACTATGGAGGATGAAAGACGTTTGCTTTGTGGAGGTTATATTTTTTAAATACTTTTTACTGTGCAAATTTTCAAACAAAAAAAGAGGAGAAAATAGTACAGTGAACTCCCATGTACTTATCACTCAACTTCAGCAATTACCAATTCATGACCAACTTCTTTCATCTATACCCCTACCAACTTCCGCTGTTCTGGATTATTTTGAAGGAAATCACCAATATCATGTCATTTCATGTATGAATATCTTAGTAGATATTGCTATAAGATATTCTTTTAAAAAAAAAAAACTGTGAAACCATTATTAAATCTAAAACATTTTTAGCAGTAATTCTTCAAAATTATCAAGTATCCATTCAGTCTTCAAAATTTCCAGTTCTCATAGTGTTTTATAAAAGTTTGTTTTTATTAGCATTCAAATATAGTCCCTGCATTGTAATTCATTGATACATCTCCTTAAGTCTCTTTTGACTTATAGATTACCCTCCCATCTTTTTTTTTCCCCTGCAGTTTATTTATTTATTTGTAATTTTTTTTTTTATTGTACTTTAGATGAAGGCTTACAGAACAAATAGTTTCTCATTAAACAGTCAGTACACATATTATTTTATGACTAGTTAACAACCCCACGACACGTCAACACTCTCCCTTCTCAACCTTGGAGGAACTTTTTTTTTTGGTGAGAATATACATAGCCAAAGTTACACCATTTCCAAAGTTTCTACATGTACAATTCAGTGACATCGATTACGTTCTTCCAGTTGTGCTGCTATTCTCCATATCCTTTTCCAAATTATTTCATTCCATTATCTTCAACTCACTGTCCCCAGGCTTCCCATCAAACCTTTTGAGTTGCTGTTGTCAGTTTGATCTCACATAGATAATTCTTTTTTTTTTAATATAACTTAGATGAAGATTTACAGAATAGTTCTCATTAAACAGTTAATAGACATATTGCCCTATGACAATGGTTAACAACCCCACAACATATCAACACTGTCCCTTCTCAACCTTGGGTTCCCTATCACCAGCTTTCCTGTCCCCTCCTGCCTTCAAGTCCTCATCCCTGGACTGCTGTGCCTCATTAGTCCCATTTTTTTTATGAGGCTGTCTAATCCCCTGCTGAACGGTAAACCTCAGGAGTGACTTCACTACTGAGCTAAAAGGGTGTCCGGGGGCCATACTCTCGGGATTTCTTCAGTCTGTCAGGCCAGTAAATCTGGTCTTTTTTTGTGAGTTAGAATTTTGTTCTACATCTTTCTCCAGCTCTATCCAGGGCCCTCTGTTGTGATCCCAGTCAGAACAGTCAGTGGTGGTAGTCAGGCACCATGTAGCTGTACTGGGCTCAGTCTGGTGGAGGCCGTGGTAGCTGCAGTCCATTAGTCCTTTGGACTAATCTTTTCCTTGTATCTTGTTCTCTTCATTCTCCCTTGCTCCCTCCCAACTGGGTGAGACCAGTGGAGTATCTTAGATGGCTGCTCACAGGCTTTTGAGATGCCAGATGCTACTCACCAAGGTAGAATGTAGAACATTGTCCTTATAAACTGTGTTATGCCAGTTGAGCTAGATGTTCCCCATGCAGTTTATTTTTTGAAGGAACTGGGTCATTCGGCTGTAGAGTTTCCCACAATCTGGTTTATGCTGATTGTATCTCCATGATGTTGTTTAACTTCTTCCTCTGTCCTCTGTATTTTGTGTAAATTGGTAGTTAGATTTAGAGCAACACTGTGCAATAGGAATATAATGTGAGCCACACATGTAATTTTAAATTTTCTAGTAGCCACATTTAAAAAAGTATAGTGAAATTAATTTTAATAATATACTTTAACACAATATATCCATCATATTATCATTTCAACATATGATCAATATAAAAGTTATTATTGAGATAGTTTATATATATTTTTTCCATACTAAGTCTTTGAAATCCAGTATGTATGTTACCCTTTTATAGCACAACTCAATTTGGACTAGCCACGTTTCAAGTGCTTGGTAGCCACATGTGGCAACTGGCTACCATACTAGATAGCCCAGATCTAGAGACTTGATGAGATTCAGGTTTGATTTTGTTCCTGCTTTTCCTTTTTTCTGTTTTTGTTGTTTTTACAAGACAACTTCTTAAGTAGTATCATCTTCTTTCATTAGGAGGCACATAGGTCTAATTGACTGTCAGTTTTTAATATGTAAATATTTTTAAAAGGCTAAGAATTAAGCCAGAGGTAAATGGGAGTAAGATACAAGCATCTGGAAGAAGAGACTCATACATGAGGAGGTAAGGGCCAAGAAGAGCTGTGTCTGCCTTGTGTCCCAATCTTAGCAAGAGGTGGTATGACTACAGACAGCTCTTCTTGCGTGCTACAGGACATTGCTCAGGACATTAGTGGAGAGCAGGCTCCAGGCAGTGCTGTACTGCTTTCATTTGTGCCAGGTTGTTTAAGGGGCTTCTCTTAATTTAGCATCGCTGTCCAATCAGGCTTCAAGGGCAGTAGAGCAGCAGTATTAATAGCCACAGTGAGGAACAGGTTCCCTGTGAGCAGAGTTTTAGCAGATTTTCCATCCTTCTCATTGTATTTTTGACCCTCCCTTTTCACCCCCAAAGGAGCCCTGGTGGCACAGTGGTTAAGCGCTTGGCTGCCAACCAAAAAATCAGCAGTTTGAACCCAGCAGCCACTCCATGGGAGAAAGATGTGCCCATCTGCTTCTGTAAAGATTTATAGCCTTGGAAACCCTATGGGGGCAGTTCTACTGTGTCCCGCAGGGTGGCCATGAGTTGGAATCAATTCGACAGCAGTGGGTTTGGTTTGGTTTTCACCCCTACTATTGGGTGTCCATTTAATTATGTGTCAGTAACTTACATAGAATCTGGCCTCATAACATTCTTCCTACAATCCTAGGTTGGGCAGGCGGGAATCTAGATTCCTTGGCTGTTCTTTAGCCCCGTCTAGGTACTGAGTAGTTTCAGGTGGTTGTTGGGATTCATCCCTGAGCAGAGTGAGGTTCCTTTGGTGCTGTGAATTGTGAATGGTGACTGAAGTTACTAGAGCCCCCACCCGTGAGGTTGGGTAACCCTACACTGCTAAATTCACCAGAAGTTTCCCACAATTTACTGAGATGTCTGGACCCCCAAAGGTATGGGAATATTTCTATCCTGGGGAGTTGAGGCAAAGAACCTCACCAGATTTAGGGCCCCCCTTTTAGTCCCCTTGTATTTTACTGATCTTCTGCATCTGCTTTTTCTCCTCAATCTTGTAGCTTTTTCATCCTTCTTTTTTCTCTTCTTTCTCTGTATTATTTCTGCTGCCTACCCCTCCTACCCTCTTCTCTTTTCCTTATTCACATAAACATAGAACCTTCTTCTTATCTCTCCGTATTTTTAAAAATTATATTTCAGCTTTATTCCATAGTTTTATGCCCACACCTGCATACACCAAGGTTTTTAGCCTTGAACTTGGGCTCGACCTTTGTATAGAACAGTTTACAAGGCCTTTGGTCAAGCACATACCTGCCCAGGCTCCTTCATGTACAGTGACAATAGAACAGTGGCCATTTCCTGACCCACTAGTGACCATACAATGGACCAGCAAACCCATATGACAATTTGTCTGGTTGAGCCAAGTATAAGGATGCAAAATTCTTTGACTCGTTTATTTCTAAACTACCGGGTCTCCGTGGTGTTCCTCTTGGGAGGACGGAGACTGAGGGTACCTGGAATTACTGAATTATTTCATCATGACCATCAAATAGTGTTATTTTCAGACATACTTGTCGTTTATGAAGAGAAAAGGTTTAGGTGGATACAAACAAGGCACAATGTAAATCATCAGGTTAGTCCAATTTTGATTTTCTTTTTTTTTGCTGTTTTTCTTAACATAATTTTTTGGCTTGATTTTAGGAATCCATTTATCCCCAGGTGAATTTCATAAAGAAGTGGAAAAGTTTTTAACTCTGGCAAGTCAAGAACAAAGTGATACTATCCTACTGGACTGCAGAAATTTCTATGAAAGCAAAATAGTAAGTATGAACCAGGCTTGAGTTCAGTGAAATGGTAGGTCTCCCCCTCCGCACAGCATGGCATGTTTCCCAAGGGGAAGCTGTGTGTGCCCGCCTGTCATTAGATCACGTGAGTCTCCTCCCAGTACTCAGTTTCAGAGAAAACCCAAACCTTTGAACTTAGGGTCTGGTGAGAAAGTGTGAATTACAAACACCTTGGCACATGATGTACTTTTTGGCTCCCATGAGCCTACCCTTGACATGTGTAGCTGATTAAGGGTCTTGTAAAGTCTGCTTTGGGCAGCCTTTCCAGTTTGCCTGAAAACTCTGGGAAGGTGACCCACAGCCCACCCATCCTTGTTTGTAAGTTCCAGATCTTGAAGTTGAAAGGTAGAGTAATGAGAACAGCCACTAACAAGTGCTTCCTGGCCAAGATGGGGGTTGTTTGTTTGACACAGGAGGAAGCTTTGTCCCTGCCAGGTATATTTTTCTGATAATTCTGCTGCTGCTGCTCCTCTGTTGTAGGGACGATTCCAGGGCTGCTTAGCCCCAGACATCAGGAAATTCAGTTACTTCCCTAGCTACGTTGACAAAAACCTAGAGCTTTTCAGAGATAAGAGGGTGCTGATGTACTGCACTGGGGGCATTCGTTGTGAGCGGGGTTCAGCCTACCTCAAAGCCAAGGTGAGTCGTGGAGCCGTGGAACCCTCCACCAACAGCATGAGAGGAACTTTCCGTCCCCTACCTCCACACCCTCCCGCACCCCCGCCAGCCAGAGGATTTATTTTCTCCTTGTATGGGTCCAGCATAGAGTCTTTAAGTACGAAACCTGAGGTTCTTAAATTTCAAGATGTGAAAAGCACTTAACAGTCTTAAAGACTCATCAAGTATAAAAAGGAAAGATTAGTTAACATCTCTCTGCCCCTAATCCTTTTGCTTGATCCCGAGAAGAGCAAACTCAGTGACATTACAAATCCCAACAGGTGTCTTCCTATATTTAGGGGACAGCAAAAATAGTTGGGCTTCCCAGGATCTAGAAGGTGAAGGCCCTGCCTGCTGTCATCACCCATCCCCCTAGCAGGCAGGGTCTGGCCAGTTGTTTCCTTGACCTCCTTGGTCAGCACTTCCTCAGGGTCTCGCTGCGGGGACCAGGAGCCCTGCTGATAGGAGAGGCAGGGAATCCTCCACTCCTCCGTGGAGCTTCTTCCTTGTCTCTGCTTGTCTCTCCCAATGTCCTTTTTTTTTTTTCCCCACACATAGGGAGTGTGCAAGGAAGTGTTCCAGCTCAAAGGTGGCATCCACAAGTACCTGGAAGAGTTTCCTGATGGTTTTTACAAAGGGAAGTTGTTTGTTTTTGATGAACGCTATGCCCTTTCCTACAATAGTGACGTAGTGTCAGGTGGGTCAGCACAGAACCAGAACCCAAACTGATAATCAGACATTCTCTGTATTAACCATTCTAAAGAAACTATACAGGGAAGGCAGGCCAGTACTCATAGCTGAAGAATAAAGCAGAGACAAGAAGTACGTAGTATCCAGATTTTCCCAGCAGAACTGGAGATAAAACAGTGGAGCAGACAGAGCCCCGGACTAGGACTCCAGGGGCCTGGGTTGGAATCCTGGCTTTGCCTTTACTGGCTGGGATGTTGAGCAAGTCCTTTAAAATGGCGATCATCTCACTTGCCCTGTCTACCTGCTAGGAGCTGAACTAATAGTCTAAATCAGGGGTCTTAACCCGGGGTCAGAATATAGAAATAGGGAGGTCTGTGAATTTGGATGGGAAAATAATCATATCTTTATTTTCTATATAACCCCTCGCTAAAATGTAGTATTTCCTTCAGTTACGAATGTTACAAAAAACCAGTCATGTTAGATATACCTTCGACTTTGTCATCAATAGAAATCACAGTATTTTCATATCATATTACAGTTACTGCATATATCTCAAAATAGCATTTACACTCATCATTGCTTCAAAATTGAAATAGTTATTAGACCTAGCACCGAGTCTTATTTAATGTGTTAATAAAGAAGCACATATTTTACTGTCTCACAAATTTCAAAAATATTTTGATGTTTTGTATTTCTATATAATTTATTTCCACTGTAATTCTGTATATTTTATTTTATGCATTTAAAACCATTTTTCTAAGATGGAGCCCATAGGCTTCACCAGACTGCCATATACATCCATGGCACATAAAAGGGTAAGAGCCCCTAGTTTAGATGGTTTGTGGACAGACATCATATGTACATTTGAAGGGTGGGTGGTATATTCTAAGGTGGAACTGAATCTAGGGCCAAGGCCAGAAGCAGGAGTGGCCACAGGAAGCCTGTGGTTTGACTACGGTGTTGAGTCTACACTGAAGTGTGGTACAGATGAGGGCAGTCGGTAAAAGAAGAAGGATGGAAATCATCCTTAAGAAAAGTGGCCCTCACCCCTTCCCTATATGCCACAGTTTGGAACTGAAATGGTCACAAGCAGTCAACACTAGTGACTGTTGCAATTTTCTAGAATTCCTATTATCAGGGACTAAGAGTAAGTTATCAGTCAGACAATGAATAAGATGTGTTTGATTGTTCTCTCCCCTTCCTTCTTGATCTTTTTATTTGCTTTAATGGTCTTGTATTTGTTTCTCTTGACTGAAGCTATTTCAGACCTGTGTTGGAGTTAGTTGCAGTATAAATTATAAATAAGTAGGAAGAGTAGATTTGACAGATTTTGCAGAAGTAATATTGGCAGGACTTAATGGGTGCCTGCATGTGAATGTGAAGGGGAAGAGAAGGCCCAAAGGTAGCTTAGGTCAGCAAGGTAAGGAGATTTGAAGAAGGTGTTATCAATGGTAACTGGAAGTCAGCAGGGAAAAACAGGCTAAGAAGGGAGATGATGTGCGTTTTTGGAATTAGGTGGTCAAGTGTCCTAGCAACAGCAGGAAAGTCTCAGGCTTAGGGAACAGGGTAAGTGAGATGTGACCTGCAGAGGTTGAATGTAGATACGGGATCACCTATATTCTGGTATGTTGCCGCCTCCTGGAAAAGGGAATGATCTAAAGGAAGAAGACCATTTAACAAGGGGTGGTTATGCCAGCTTTGGAATAGCTAATGAGAGAGAAACGTTAATACCTTTGTTCAGGGAAAAGAAAAATGGGTCAGTGGATGCTGGAATCATAAAGAAAATTCCCAGAAGCACCAGTCCCCTCTTAAAAAAAATAAATAAAGTTGCAGGGGCCGGGGGGTGGTGGCGCATATTTTTGTTGGAAGACAGGAGACTTACTACTTAGAAATTTCCCCAGGCCCAACAGGATGTATTAGATTCTGGCGAGCTAAGAGTTACATTTGGGAACTGGAGAAGTTCCTGTCTACATGTGTGTGCGCGCGCGCATGTGCGCACATGCTTTTAATAAAGTCTTTTCTTGCTTTTCCAGAATGTTCATACTGTGGAGTCCAGTGGGACCAGTATAAACTCTGTTCAACTCCCCAGTGCTGCCAACTTGTTTTGTCTTGCCCTGCCTGCCAAGGACAAGGGTTCACAGCCTGTTGTGTCACATGTCAGGACAAAGGGAGTAGGCAGGCTTCAAGCCCAGCACAGAACAGCTTTAAAGAGGAATGTGAGTGTACGGCCCGACGGCCACGCATACCCAGGGAACTTTCACTGCAGGCACGACTCCTTGTGAACAGAGAGCCAGGGTCTGATCTTGGTGAGGAAGTGCATTTGCTTATGTGAGCAGCACCTTCAGCATTTTCCCCAGTCCTTCACAAAGCTAGGTTTGGGGCAACCATGTGTAGGAGAATATCAAGGCTGCAGCAACAGAGAAATGGAGAACTTCAGTACTGGCTAATGCCACCAGGGCCCACTGGTCACCATATTGGGCACCTACACTTCACAGGGGGAAGGAAGAGGAGGAGGGGAGAGGGAGTTGGGTGCTATCTGACCACTTGCCTGAGATATTTTGACTCAGAAGATACTAGAGCACAGTAAAATGGTGAGTTGTGTGGGATCCCATAGCTGCTGAGGGATAGAGTCTTGAGCCTGGTGACCATGTCCTGCCCTTTCTCTGCTATATAACAGGGCTGTTGGTAGACATTACTCTTGTCATCAAACCTGTCAGTCCTAGTATCAGAAATGTGAAAGCTGTGACCCTGGGAGTGGACTTCTCTGAACCAGGCCACTTAAGTCATCTGCCACCCAGCCCTGCCTCCATCTTGTTCTGACAACCTGAGAGCATCTAGACCAGGGGTCTAGACCATGGCATTTGGCCCACTTCCTGTTTTTGTAAATAAAGTTTTATTGGAACAAAGCCACACCCATTCTATTCCTTTACATATGCTCTACGGGTGCTTTTGCACTACAATAGCTGAACTGAGTAGTTGCAGCAGAGATTGTGTGGCGCGCAATGTCTAAAATATTTACTATTTGGCCCTTTACAGAAAAAGTTTGCCAACCTCTGATCTAGACCAACAGCTTATCTGATGGAGCAGATGTCCTTAAAGATGAGGCCCACCTTTACTCTTTATTGATTTGTTTTCTCTAAGAGGTTTTTCCCAGTAGTCCCTGCTTCTCCCAGCACCCTCACTGTTAGCTTTTTTGTGTTCTCTTTGATAGATTCAAATAAGGCTCGATGACGCTGACATTTGGGCAGCAGTTTTTAGATCAGCACATAGGATATAAGAAGACACATTCTTAGTGAGGTCATTCAGCACTGCTGTGGTGGCTGCCCAGCCTTTTGGCCAGCATGGCGGGCACTTTTACCTAAAGGGCATGTCCCTATGCCACCAGTTCCAAGAAATACATACACAGCCACGCACAGACCAACAGATTTAATGTTATGTTGCAGTTTCCAGTGATGCAGAATGCAGCTGCAATTGTGTTTCAAGGAGAAGCCAGTGGGAATGGCCCTCCCTGCAGAATGGTGCCACTCCCAGGCCCACTTGCAGCCTCAGTCGACCCTCTTCCATAGTGGTGAGGCCTGGCTCCATCTCTGGTTACCCTGTAGTGTCCATGCCATTACAGTTCAGTGCACAGGATTTTCCCTTTCTCATCGAAAGCCTTTTTGCTCAGTGCTCTGCAGCTTAGTCTGTGCTCATCAGCTCTGTGGCCTTGTTCTTTATCATAAGATTTATTGAATCACACATGAAAATAACTCCCCAAAGCAACAGAAATATTAGTTTAACTGGCACTGTGGTTAATTAAAAGGCACGAGGGCATTATGGCTTAACATTTTTGCTGGCTCCCAAGAGATGCACATGATGTTAAAAAGAGATATAGCAGAAATACCAAAATTACATTTTCAGAGTAATCATCCTTGGATGGTTTGGCCAGGATTTCCTACTTCTCTAATTCTGGATTTTCTTCACCATTGTCGTTCAGAGACTTAATTTACAGGCTTGAGATCAGTGATGGCTTGTTTAAATGATATATAATGAGATAGGTAGTTGAAGTTCATAAGCTTGGCCATGCTAATACCATAGCCACGATGAACTAGAGTTTATCCCTCTAATGTTTTACGTCACGTAAGCCATGTTCTGATTTCTCCTTTTTGCCCCATGTGCAACATAGAAAGGTGTTTTCAAGTATTTGGCTATAGGTTTTCCCATCCATCATAAGGTTGGCATTTGATAAGGAAACAGTCTTTTTTGACTCCAGTATTAAATTGTAACTAAATGTCAGATGTTCATAAAGAACACTCAGGGAAATGTTTGTTGCCTGGGATTGGTAAGGAAAGATGGTTTCAAAACTTGAAATTACACCACTGGCTTTTTCTATCATTTCCTTCCATCCAGCAAAAGAATCTCCTGTTCTTTGATTCCTGGCAGAGCTCTGTGACTTCAGTCTTTTCTTTTTTTCTTAAAGGGAAAAACTGTGTTCTTGATCCATTATTCAAGTTGGCAACTTTAATCTTGAATTAAAGGATTTTTCTTAAAGGAGGGTTAATAAAAAAATGATATTTCTATTTGCCAAATCGCTAAGATCAATTTGTAATAAAGTATAAGGCTTCTAGAACCCTGTGGAAGAGTGTGCTGTTTGTTCATGTATTACACACCTGAAACGCTGCAGAGAAAGGCCACCGAACTTGGGCTCCTGGGGTTAAGTCACTGCTAGTGTAACTCCATCTTCCGTAAGATCTGCCAGTTCGAGAGCTTCTTAGTTTTTAAATAATAACTAGACTGAACTTCTGTGACTAAAGAAAAACTTCACATTAACCATATTTTAGAAAAATTTCCACTACAGCCACTAGTTAGCCTAAAACCTTAGTGCATAAAGAACTGAACCACAAAAGGATTTTGTGCCGGCATTATGCCTTCTGGTTTTCCCGGCAGAGCACAGATGATCGGTAGAACGTGTCCAGTTCAAAGGCGTGGGCTTCGCCTCCATACACTAGACGCCACTCCTGCACTTGGGAATGATGGGCCCAGTCAAGTCTGCGAGCCTCCTCTTCCTCACTGCAAAGGAATGGAGATAAAGGGTAAGCCAGTCGTCCCTGTGGACCAGAAGCCACGCTGTCGCACTGAGAAAGCACTGTCAAGCCTTTCACTAATTTTTTTTTTTAAAGCAAAAGGCTTAGGTCTGTTGGTTTTAAAGGACAGTTATGTGTGAGTTGTGTAACGGCCCTCCAGTTTTCAGTGTTCACTAAGAGTCTGTGACAGTGTAAATTCATTTCTAAATTACTTCTCAGTGGTCGACCACACAAGTATAAAGCCCTTGACTGTTTCTCCTTTGCCTACAGAGGCCCTGCAGATGAAGAGCTTTACTCTGGTTCAGATAAGAGTTAAACTCGGTCTAGCTTCTTAATAAGACCAGGGTCTTAACCTCATGAAACAGTTCCCCAACTCTTTCTGGGAGTTCCTGCCCACATAAACAACAGTTTCCACCCTGAAGATTACCCTGCAGTATCTGTCCCCATATGTTTAGGGTTGACATTGTCCCCAGGGCAAGAAATATAAGCTCAAGTTAAATGCCATAAAGAGGAAAGCACTAGCCAGGAAGTTGCAGGCTGGAAACATTAGCTTACAGAATGATGGATTCGGGGGTGGGTATCCCCTTTGCTGTAATAAGGGAGAGTTTTGAAATGAATTACAGTGTCTGCAGATGGAGACCAAGCAGCAAGCTAAATCAGCCAGAGAGAAAGGTCAAAGAAGTCCGTAGAGTCGGTAGGTGGCAGTCAAGGGGCCTGCTGGTGTGGCAGAGACAGGAAGCTATTGCTGAGAGGAAAAAAGTCTGTCTATACTTAGATGTCTTCCAGTTCCCGAGCTGAGGCGGTAGACCTGCGGCCACCAGATGGCAACAAGCTGCAACAGAGCTGCAACAAGAACCGAATCAGCTTGTGCATGACACTGAGCATACAAGCCACCCAGGGATGGGGTGTTGTGGCCCAGAGCTGGTGGGGTGGTGGGAGGTGGGGGCTGGGGTACACAGGTTGCCCAGTCGGACCTAGAGCTCAGCCTGTGCCTGAACTCTCCCCACCCCCACCCTGGGATGAAAAGAATAATTAATGCATGTCAGGGCCAGAAGTATCTTGGATAGAGGGCAGTGTCCATCCTAATTCTTGGAGATAGCAGAATATCTGAAGGAGCCCTGGTGGCGTGATGGTTAAGTGCTCTGCTGATCACTGACAGGTTGGTGGTTCAAATCCACAAGAGAAAAGACCTGGAGATCTGCTCCCGTAAAGATTACAGCCTGGAAAACGCTGTAGAGCAGTTCTACTCTGTCACGTGGGGTTGCTATAAATCCAAAATTTATGGCACCTAACATCAGAATGTCTGACAGCTTGGGGTAAATGTGAAGGAACAAAAATCAAAACGCAAAGAGCTAAGGAGCTTGCCCAAAGTGACCAGAGAGTTTTTACATGGACCAGACTCCTAAGCATCGGCATGCCACGGAACCTATTTCACACGGTATACCTCAGTTGAGCCCCTCCAGCAATTCTGGAATGCCAGTATTGTTACCGTTCCCATTTTATGGATGAGGACAGTAAGGCAGAGAGTAAATTTCTTGCTCAAAGCAATAAAGCCAGTACCAGAGGGAAACAAAGTTTGTGGCTCATATTAAGCTTCAGTCCAGCGCCTCCCTGCTAGGCCCTGCTACCTCCCCCAGGACAATTCTTCCTCCTCGCTGCAGGGTTCACGTGGCCACATCTGATTCTCACAGGGAGAATTAGTTCCTCTTCCGTGGAGAAGAGAAGATACCCACGGTTCCTGGAGCTGGCAGCAGAGCCAGGGCGTGAGTCCCCCCATCTATGGTTCAGAGCACAGAATGGGACTCCATGTTTCTTCTCCCACTACATGCCTTCGTGGTGTACACTAGGCTGGATTTGCACAGAGGCCCCAGCACTGGCTCCAGCAGGGACTGGATGGGGCGAAGGGAAGGGCACCCATGTACTAAGGAAGGTATTTTTTCCCATTTTACTGATGAAGGAAATAGAGGCCAAGCAAGGGGGAGTAATTTGCCCTGGCATGGTGGCTAAGTGGCAGAGCTGCGAGTAGAACCCAGTTCTCCCACCATCTTCCTTCAGTTCAATCTGCTTTTTACTTTCTTTAAAGTAAACTTCTCATTGCTTATCACTGCAACAGCCAGAGACTCGTTTACTGTCAGAGCCAGAAGGACTCAAGTCATCTGAACCGACAACCTCCATCCCATGCTTGAACCCCCTCCACCACTTCCTGCTTGAACACCTCCATGTCTTCGGGAAGCATTTTATATTCATTCGTGTGTTCAACAGCATTTACTGAGTGCTATTACATGTAGGAGTCCCTGAGTGGTGGAAACAGTTAATGTGCTTAGCTGCTAACCGAAAAGTTGGATGTTTGAGTCCACCCAGAGGTGTCTTGGAAGAAAGACCTAGCAATCTACTTCCGAAAAATCAGTCATTGAAAACCCTATGGAGCACAGTTCTGCTCTGACACACATGGGGTTGCCATGAGTCAGAGTTGACTTGATGACAACTGTTTATTATTATGATTACATGCTAGGCACAGGAGTCAGAAGTAAAGATACAGCCTAGCAGGGGACCAACATATACAAACAGTAAGCTTGATAAAACATCACAAGGTACCCTGGTAGATCTCTAGATCAGGTAGGAGGGGCACAACTGAATGAAGTGGTCAGACCTTCTGAGGATGGGCAGGGGTAACAACAGATGAATCTTAAATGCTGAAGAAGTAGAGGGTAAGAAAGTAGGGACAGCATTGGGAGCAATGGCCCTCTAAAGGCGTGCTTTCACCTGGGCCACTGGGCACTCAAGCTGCCTGGATGATTGGTCCTGTATAATGATATGGCAAGAGGACGGCTTGTCAGCACGTGTCCAGAGTTGAGTCTGGCAGGGCCCAGGGTGTCGTGGTTGAGAGCACAGGCTCTGGAGCCAGACTGTGGGTTCAATCCCAGTTCTGCCCACTTACTTGGGTAACTTCACCTACTTCTCAAGGCCTCTGTTACCTTACTGTAAAACGGGATGATAATAGAACATACCTCACTGGCTTGTTGGGAGAATTAAATGAGTTAGTAATGTGGGAAGTGTTTAGAACAGTGCCTGGCATGCACTAAGTACCATCAGCTACCATTATTAAGGGTCTTATGAGCCATGTCAGGGTTTACCCTGAGAGCAATGGTAGCCCAGAATGGGTTCTAAGCCGAGGAATGAAGATCGTTGGTTTGAAGCCACCAGCCGCTCCGAGGGAGAAAGATAAGGCACTCAGGGACAGATTACCCAATACGCAAGGTATGCACGGGCTTACTTACTAATGTGTAGTGCACAATTTCACCTGTTTTTTCACAAGCATGACCCATGTGAAATTGTGCACTAGCATTTAGTAAATAAACACAATTAAGCCCGTGCATACCTGCTTACTGGTTAATCCACCCCTGGGTGGCAGTCTGCTTTCGTAAAGATTACAGTCTTGGAAACCCCATGGGGCAGTTCTACTCTGTCCTATAGAGTCGCTATGAGTCGAAATCCACTCAACAGCAATGGGCTGGGGTGCTTCTTGGAAAGGTTGTCCTTGAAAATAAGGCAAAAGCAACTTTCCCAGGAAAAGATGTTTTCTGCTTTTAAACATGTTACTCCCCCTCCCCATCTTATGCCCACTGAACGCACACAACTGTCTAACTTGGAGGCTGCAATTCTGATTTCATTAAGTGGACAGCGCTTCAGTGGCAGACCTCTGGGACCTGAGCGCCTGTTGAGCCTGGCTCTTAGCTATAAATAGTGTGGAGACAGGAGTCATCTGAGGCCTTGCTGTGGGGAAATGTAGATCAGGACTCACAGCAGGCTCCTCGCTGACACCCACCTGACCCTGGATCCCTGCTCTCACACACTCTCACATGTGGAGCGTGCAGCCCAGTGCACAGGGTGGGAAGGACCAAAGACGTGCCAGTCAGGACAGACCCCCAGGCTGGTTGCACGTCTGCAGAGGCACCGGCTGACCAAATGCCCCCAAAGAGGAGCACACCCACCTTGCAAGCCGGCCAAGCCCAAGCCCCCCAGAGGCCAGGCCGTGGGCCTGGAGCCACCACAGGGGTGGGTCAGAGGGAGAAGGAAACCTCAGTGGGCCTGCTCCCTGGCCGATCTGGGAGCCCTGCTGCTGGCTGCCAAGCACAGACACTGCTAACAATCACAGAGCAGGGGAGCACCTGGCAGGAGGCTTCCATGATAAAAATATGCAGCTGGAAAACATGGAAGCCTGTCTGCTTCATGGTCACATCCAGAGCAGCATGAAAGTACTGTGTGGAAAAGGAAGTCTGGATTTTTCTTCTGCAGGAAGATGCTAATGTATTGTCGGACTCCAAAGCGTTTCTCTTGCAAAAATGAGCAGATGGACACAAATTTGCTTTTAAAGCTAGAAATCCTACACCACTCACTAGCACTCTAAAAGTTGCGTGTCATCACTTAGCAAGACTATTCTGCTCCCATTCCTTCTGTGGAAAAGCCCAAAGGAGCAGCTGCACGTAGTTCCCTGGGGTGGTGGTTGTGGTATGCCGTCGAGTTGATTCTAACACTATGAGTTGCTATGAGTCCCTGGGGTAACCGTCCCCCACCAAAAAAAAAACAAACCCGTGGTCATCAAGGTCAATTCCAACTCATGGCAACTCCATATGTTACAGAGTAGAACTGCACTCCATAGGGTTTTCAGGGCTGTGATCTTTCAGAAGCAGATCACCAGGCCTTTCTTCCAATGCACCTCTAAGTGGGTTTGAACCAGGGTTCAAACCACCAACCTTTCAGTTAGTGGCCAAGTGCTTAACTGTTTGCACCACCCAGAGGCCCATTTTTATCACCTGTCATCCCTGCCCAGGAAACTGCCACAGTTTTTATTTCCTACCTGCTTCTGTCACCGAATACCTGAGATTAGCATAAAGGCCCTTGGCTCACAGTCTCCCCATCACTTACCAGCCCCATTCCTTGTGAACACCCTATATACTTGTCTATTGTCCTGATTTTGCTCATGCTGTTCTGTCTGCTTGGAATGCCCTTCCCTTCCTTCTCTGTGAAGTTCCTATTTATCCTACAAGTTCTCCCTCCCTGTAATAGTTCCTCCAATCCATTTAGATCTTTCTATCTTTCCCATACTACATATTGGGTCTTACCACCTTGCCTTTGCTTATGCTAGTACCCCTGCCAGGGATGCCTCCTCACCTCCCCCATCAGCCTATCTTTTCTTTTCAAGGCTGGCCACCCCCTCACTCACCCTCCCAACCAGGATGCTTTCCTTAACTGGACTCTGTCCTCATAAATCATTTCCTCACTTTGTTTGGATACAGGCTATAAGCATTCTTGAATTTTCAGACATGCCTTTGAGTCTTCTCTCCCCTAAAAGGCCATAAGGCTTCCTGAGTCAGAGAACCAACTAGCCTTTCTGCATCTTCTGCTGCCCCTTATATTACCCAGCACAGTCCTGAGCATACAAAAGTCACTCAGTAAATGCTTGCCGTAGTTAACAATCGATGTGACCTGACTGAGCCACTCCCCTGAAACTCCCCTCCCCTGGCTTCAGTTTCTGCATAAGGGAATTGAATGGGATAAGCACTTAAGTCCCTTCCCGCTCTGGCATTCTAGGGTCCTACCATGGCCTTCTTTGGAAGGAGTACAGCCAGAATGCTCCCTGGAAGTGAGGATGGCGAGACTTCATCTCATGTACTTTGAACATGTTATCAGGAGGGACCAGTCCCTGAGAAGGACATCATGCTTGGTAAGGTAGAGGGTCAGCAAAATAGAGGAAGACCCTCAACAAGATGGACTGACGCAGTGGCTGCAACAATGGGCTCAAACATAGCAATGATTGTGAGGATGGTGCAGGACAGGGCAGTGTTTCGTTCTGTTGTACATAGGGTCGCTATGAGTTGGAACTGACTCGACAGCACCTAACAACAACCATGGCCTCCAAATGGTTAAGCATCAGAATATTGGCAGTTTGAACCCACCCAGTGGGAGAAAGACCTGGTAATCTGCTCCTATAAATATTACAGGCTAGGAAATGCTATGGCTGCAGTTCTACTCTGTCACATGGAGTTGCTATGAGTTTAAATCGACTCCACGGCACCTAACAACGACCATGGCCTCCAACGTTCCCTGGTGATGGGAGGCATGCCTAAATTTTGGAATCACAGACTGTTATGACTAGGAGAGTCCTCAATGGCTGTTTTGGCCAACCACCAGCTGATTCTGGTATCCCCTCTCCAGAACCACCGGGCTCTGGTCATCTAGAACCCCTGCCCCCAGAAAAAAGACCTCCAGATCATAATGCCATTGGAAGACAAAAGCTGGGTTAGCCTCGAGTCAGGCACCGAGGAGGCACATAAAAAGTTTAACCTAAGCTAGGAGAAAAAACGTGAGCTATTGCATATCAGAATAAAAATAAAAGCTTAAGTGTTGGGTCTGAAGTCACATCACAGCTAGGTCAACCATTTAGACTGCTGGCCCGCAACAATTCGGTTTAGCAGCTATCACGTGTTATCGATAATAATTAGGACTTTTTAGTTAGCCATGTTTGTTCTGATCTTACTTCAGATAAGGGCCCTTTAGGTAAGCCAGGCACTGGGCACTTCTTTTTTAATGGGCTTTTCTAGACCTGCGGCTCTAGAAAGAAGTGTCATCTGGAGTGAGCAATGAATGAATGGTCCCTGGACTATGATAGCCTTAAGAGCAAAAGCCTATTACCTTCAGCCGTATAGGACTTGATAAATGTTTGCTGAACTGAGGGACTCAATCTAATGTGTGCATGAGTGTCAGTGTGTCTACCTCTTTGGTTATATATACACATAGGTTCCGTGAGTACCTGTCTGTGTGTGCACACCTACACACCTCCAGTCTTCAAGGGCTTCCCGTGCTCACCTAGCCTCAGGCTAGCCACCAGGATGTGACACCCTTGAACTCTGAGTCATGCTTTACTATTAAGCTCTTTGCACTTTATTGAGGGTTGGAAACCAGAAAGAGTATTGTATAGAGCAGGTCTGAATTTGACGAAAAACTCGCTGAAAACAATGTCCTTTGTAAAATATATTTATTTCATAATTTAACCCCAGAAAAAAAGCTTTGTTAAGAACCTCATTGTGCTTCCTTCTCTTCTGTAATAAGAATAATGCAACTTGGTTTGTCTTCCTTTTGCCTTGGTTCTAGGAAACTTGTGGCTAAACACAATGATCAATCATGTTGACAATATTAGACCTGCTCCTTTTCCTGGTTTTTATTTTCTCTTGTTTTCCAATAGCCTCATCAGACATACTTCCTTTATTGTAAACTATATCAAGTTCTTTTTAGCCACCAGTAGGATACACATAATAAATACACGTGAGAGCTTGTGTACAGTTGCCATTCTGGAAGTCAATGGATGATTGATCAACCTTTTCATTCAGTTGACTTGTGTACCTAATTGACATATATGCAAAAGAAAGACTGACATTTTCTTTAGATTAAAGGAATATAATCTGCTTTTACTTCACTTTTGAAGGTGACTTTTCAACTTTTACCTTAAAAGCAAAGTGAAATCTCCTAGGCTCGGGTTTTGGTTGTAATGCTGGTGGCTTTGGGATTTGGGACTAGAGATTGTCTGATCTGGAGAGGACTCTTCAGAGTTTAGAGAAGACATTCGGAAGAAGAAACACTGGTGCGACTTGTATACTCCAAGTTTCATCATGTTCAGCCAACATGCTGAACATGAGCTCTAGGCCCACCGCTGCACTGAGCCGTGAGAGGGGGAGGACTCAGCCTCCGCCCTGGCACTTAGGGAGCACACAGTCTAGGGGAGGGGACAAGGCACAAACACAGTGATGGAAGACAAGGAAGATATGATCAACAGGAAAACTGGGGGCTAGGTATAAGGAGAGGCCTCCCCTTACAGAGGGTGTTGGTGCCCTTTCCCCTGGCACAGCCGGCAGAGGTGGGGGAGCGGAGGCAGGTGGGCAGGGATGTTTCCACTCACCAAGGTCGTTGTTGTTCATCATTGCATTGGACGCCCGCAGCCGGGGCCCCTGCTGGGTGAAGTGGTAGCCGAATTTGAGAAGCGTTGCGTTTTTTTCCAACATGCTCACGATCTCCATTTCCACTTTGTTGCCCAGGGGCTGGCTCTTTGGTCAAGAAAAAAACAATAATCACCTTTCATTCCCTTTGTACAGTACTTAAGCCACCTCGACACGCAAAAACCCTGAGTGGTGGGCAGGCAACGATTTTCATCTCCTCTCCAAGAGCAAGCAGATGGGAGGTTAGAGAGGTTGAAGGGTCACACAGCCAGAGTGACTGAGCTGAGATTCAAACCCAGCTCTTTCCACAGCCCCACCACAACCTCTCTCTGAGCAGGTGTCCAGGTAAAAACTCCACCACAGGAGAACCCTAGACTATTTGAGCAGGCATAATCTTCAAATCACCTAGTCCTGGGGAGATTTAAAAGACCCTGCTGCCCAGTCTAACTAAATCAGAATCTCTGCGGGTGGCACTTAGGCCATCATAGTTCTTAAAATTCCTCAGGATATTTCAATATGCAGCCAAGTATGAGAATCAGTGAACTAGCTGTGATCGGTAAAATGTGTATTGACTTGGCTAGGCCATGATTCCCAGTATTGTGTGGTTGTCCATTTTGTGATCTGATGTGATTATCCTATGTGTTGTGAATTCTAACCTCTATGATGTTAATGAGGCAGGATTAGAGGCACTTATGTCAATGAGGCAGAACTCAATCTACAGGATTAGTTTGTATTTTGAGTCAATCTCTTTTGAGATATAAAAGAAAGAATGGAGTAGAGAGGAGAGGGACCTCATACAACCAAGAAAGAAGGGCCGGGAGAGGAGCACGTCCTTTGGATCCAGGGTCCCTGTACTGAGAAGCTCCTAGACCACAGGAAGAGTGATGACAAGGACCTTCACTCAGAACTGACACAGAGAGAGAAAGCCTTCCCCAGGAGTTGGCACCCAGAATTTGGACTTCTAGCCTTCTTAAACTGTGAGAGAATAAATATCTCTTTGTTAAAACCATCCACTTGTGGTATTTCTGTTATAGCAGCTCTAGATAACTAAGACACTAGTCTAATCTCTTCAGTTTACAAATGTACTAATTGAGGCCCAGAGAGGGAAAAGGATTTGCCAAAGATCACACAGTAAGTTGGGAATGCCAGCGTTTGCCTTCTAAAGCCCCACTCCAATCATGTTAGCCCCCTGCCTCCAAATCTTTACTGATCATGTGACAAAGATTAAAAAAGCAAAAACATGACAATACACAGTGTTGGCAAGAATATGATGAGGATGTTCATCACAGTCTTGTGTATAACAGTGGGGAAAAATGGGAAACAAACATTCATCAAGAGGGAGTTACTCCAATAAATGATGGCTTAGCCTTACAACAGAACATGGGCTGTAAAATAATGATGCAAATCTTTAGCCACTGGCCTGGAAAGATGGCCATAAAATGATACTGAATGGGGGAAAAAATCCAGGTCTCAAAACAGGTTATATTTATGTAAAGTTTTCCGTATCTGGAGGTATGCTGATAATGCTGGGATTTGGGAGAGCTTTTGTTTTCTTCTTCATATTATTGCACTGCTTGAATTACCATGTGTAGTAAAATAACTAAAAAAATAATCTTGAAAAAAGGCTTCAAAAGACACAGAAAGCAAGGACTTCCACTAAGTACAATTTAAAAACCTAGATGTTATACATAAAACAAATAAAAGAAGACTCTGAAAAGAGCAGAGAAAAAGTAAGACCAGTTAGGTTCCTTGGGCCCCAAGAAACAACACACTGGTGAGTTACTGGGTTTTCTTTCGGCCTCATATCCCAGACTTGGAGCTGAAGAAGCTACCAGCCCAGAAATGCCAATGACACAGACCAAAAAAAACAAATCCAACAAAAACCTGATTGCTCTAGCCAAAGGACAGATAAGGGCCTGCCTAGAAAGAACACAGAACGTCAAAAATTGGAAACAACCCAGATGTCCTTCAATGGGTAAGTGGCCCTCTGCCTGGCCCTACACAGCTTAGCCCTTGCCTTCCCTCCCTTCTCATTCCTTACTCAACCTGTCTACTTCTGGTGGTCTGGTACTTGGCGTAGTCAGGTGTGCTCTCCTGCCTGCTTGCCTTGGCTCAAGCACTGCCCTCTACATGGACTACCATTACCCTTCTATGTTCATGTATCCCTAGCGCTTTAATACCCATTGGAAATGCTCCGTCCCTACAAAGTCTTTTCTGATCACTGCCCCAGGACATCATCTCTCCCCATTCTCCAGTAGAGTAGCACATCAGAGGGCCCTCTCTATGTCCAGCACAGTCTGTCTGCCTTGTTTGGGTCACTTGCCTTTGTAGCTTCTCTCCAACTAGACCTGTGTTGTCCAGTACAGGACACTAGCCGCATGTGACTATTTAAATCTAAATAATTAAAATTAAATAACATTAAAAATTCAGTTCCTCAGTTGCACTAGCCACATTTCAAACGCCCAATAGCCACATGTGGCTAGTGGCTGCCATATTGGTCTGCGCAGATATAGAACATTTCCATTATCACAGAAAGTTCTGTTGGATAACACCGCTCTAGGCTATGAGCCTCTGAATACTAAGTACAAAGTACCTAGTAGTTCTCAGCCTAGGTTTGTAGAACAGAACTAAATGGAGACAATAGGAACATCCTTGGTACACAGCAGCATGGGAGGGTTAGAGGATACATCAAATGGACAAGTGTGGAACTACAGCTGAAACTCTTGACTGAGAACTGCTCCTAGGCATTCTGAGTCCACCAGAGTTCATCTGAGTTTAGATGGGGCTGAGAGCGCTGACCACGGCAGGCTGAGGGATGCTGGTGACATTCTACCAGCCCATCTGATAGGGCTCCTAAAAGTGCTGAGGAGAACTAAGGCCTGTCTTTGGTGGACTCAGCACGGTCTTTGGCACTGGCTGGCTTGGCCCAGAAGACAATGAAGTGACCATCTGAGGCCCCAAGAAAGAAATGGCAGCTCCCCTCTTCCCGCACCCCATCTCATTTAGCAAGAAGCCTGACCTCTCCCTGAGGTCACTTGAGGGGAAAGCTCTGCTAGCGCTCAGGATGGGCTAGTCTCAGACAGTGCTGGTCTCCCTCAGTAGAGGGGCTGCTAGGTCTCATTATTTTTCAAATATTTATTTAGTTCTTACTGTGTGCAGGCTATGTCTTGAGCACTTTTCATAAGCTAACTCATTTGTCCTTGCCATAAACCTATGAAATATGTATTATTAGTATAATTTTCATTTTATAGATGAGGAAAGTGAAGCACAGAGATAGTAAGAAACTTTTTCCCATATCACAGAGCTAGTCAGCTGCAGAACCAGGATTTGAACGTAGGCAGTTTGCTCCACAGTCTGTGCTAGTTCCCGGATCACTGGATTGCCCTCAGAGAGAGCTCAGAAGGCAGATAGATGGCTGAGGAGAGAAGCTACAGGCAGACAGATTTTGGCTTAGCATGCGGGATTGCTGTCTAACCATTAGAAGTATCTGCACACTGAAGAACTCTTTTTTTTTTTTTTATTGTACTTTAGATGAAGGTTTTCAGAACAAACTACCTTCTCATTAAACAATTACTACACGTATTGTTTTGTGGCATTGGTTACCAACCCCACGACATGTCAACAGTCTCCCTTCTCGACCTTGGGTTCCCTATTACCAGCTTTCCTGTTCCCTCTTGCCTTCTAGTCCTTGCCCCTGGGCTGGTGTGCCCCTTTAGTCTCGTTATGTTTTATGGGGCTGTCTAAACTTTGGCTGAAGGGTGAACCTCGGGAGTGACTTCATTACTGAGCTAAAAGGATGTCCGGGGGCCATACTCTCGGGGTTTCTCCAGTCTCTGTCAAGAGAGTTTGGTCATTTTTTGTGAGCTGGAATTTTGTTCTACATTTTTCTCCAATCTGTCTGGAACCCTCTACTGTGATCCTTGTCAGAGCAGTCAGTGGTGGTAGCCGGGCACCATCTAGCTGTGCTGGACTCAGTCTAGTGGAGGCTGTGGTAGTTGTGGTCCATTAGTCCTTTGGACTAATCTTCCCCCTGTGTCTTTGGTTCTCTTCATTCTCCCTTGCTCCCGAAGGGGTAAGACCAGTGGAGTATCTTAGATGGCTGCTCACAAGTTTTTAAGACCCCAGATGCTATTCACCAAAGTAGAATGGAGAACATTTTCTTTATAAATATATTATGCCAACTGAGCTAGATGTAGGGAAGAACTCTTGCCCCCCGCAGATTTGCTCCAAAACTACATAAATAACTTGTGAATAAACATAGCTTCATTGTTAAAAATTCAAATGATACTAAAGCAGGTAAAGTAAAAAGGGAGAGTCTCCCTTCACACAATTTATCCCTAGTCTCATCCCCTTTCCACAGAAGTAACCACCATGCCAATGGGGTGTGTCCCTCCAGATTTTTTGTATCCATGGATGTACAGAAATATACAGGGTTGGTTTTTAGAGTTTTTTTGTTCGTTTTCTTTTTTTTGGGGGGGGGTACTTTTTCTCCTCAAAATGGATTCATACTATACTTATTATTCTGCAAGTTGACTTTTTCATTTAATATTTTCTGGAGACCTTTCTAAGTCAGTACATATAGAACTACCTCATTCCTTTTCACTGCTTCATGGTATGCCCTGGTATAGACAGATATTTAGCTTGCTTCCATTTTTTCCTATTACAAATTGTGCTGCAGTGGACTTTTCAGTGAGTTCCCATTAGGGTATCTGTGGAAATGTGGAATTGCTGGGTTGAAAGATGGGCACATTTTAAATTAAAATAAAAAACAAGTTGCCGTCAAGTCAGTTTGACTCATAGTGACTCTGTATGTGTCAGAGTAGAACTGTGCTCCATGGGGTTTTCAATGGCTGATTTTTTTCGAAGAAGATCGCCAGGCCTTTTTTAAGGTACCTCTGAGTGGACTCAAACCTCCAAACTTTCAGTTAGCAGCCGAGTGTGTTAACCATTTGCACCACCTAAACCGCTGCCATCGAGTTGGTTCTGACTCATAGTAACCCAGTAGGATGGGGTAGAACTGCCCCGCAGAGTTTCCAAGGCTGTAAATCTTTACAGAAGCAGATTGCCACATTTTTCTCCTGCAGGAGCAGCTGGTGGGTTCAAGCCAC